GTTTATATAGGGGTTATATAGGTGTTATATAGGGTTTATATAGGGTTATATAGGGTTTATATAGGGATTATATAGGGATAATGGAAAAGAAAATGGACCCCACTATAGTATAGGATTTAGGGTTCATAAGCCCCCTCCTTTTAAGGGCCTTCATATTCGGATCCCTATCATAATCCCTATTAAGGGGAGGGAGTTTATTAATCATGGGTCTACATGAAGTCCGAAATCCAGAGAGATTTAGGGTTTTAGGGTTTAGGGTTGTAAAGGTTGAGGGTTTTGGGAGTTTGGGGGTTAAGGGTTTAGGGTTTTAGGGTTTTAGTGTCTAGGGCTTAGGATTTAGGATCTAGGGTTTGGGGATATTACCCGCCCTGGAGAATCTAACGAAAAAGGAACATGGAGAATGGAATGCAAACTAAGGTTACATAGGGGGTTATAGGAATGACTATTATGGTACCTTTTGGGTCCGAAATAAAATGAAACCCCGAAGACTTGGGATATCTTAAAAGAGGCCATCATGTTGACAAACCCCCACATCAGGTTGTTCAGCCATCTAACGCGGTTTAGGGTTTAGGGTAGTACATGGGAATACATAGAACCCAAAGCAAAGAGAAACCACCTTCCTGTGGTGGCCATATGGTGCGAATGCGTTGATCCTGGTACGATTCTTGGGTTCCTTAAATGTTCCTGTTCGTAGTCAAGTGGCCTGGCAGACCCCAAACCCTAGACCCAACGGGTCCCAAGGAGCTTCTTTTGCTGAAGCAGCGCCTTGCGAGTATAGAGACTGCAAGCTTCGCCGAGCGCATCCGCGTCAGAATCTAAGCTACTGTCAGAATTGGGTATTTCTCAATATAACCCCTATATAATCCTTTAAGGGGGCCCTATAAAATCCTCTATAATCCCTCTGTACCCCCTGAGGTCCCTAGGGTACCCTCTTTTTGAGAAACTCCCAATTTTTAATAAAGCTGTTAGGAGTGGACATGGGGTTCTTTCTGGTAGTCCAAGCCGTAGCATATTCCCCAATAAGCCTCCTTTGTCCAGCTACAGCTCATCTGGGTCCTAAGGCTCCTATGGTCCCCCTTAAGTAGACAGAATATAGGGTTTAGGGTTTAGGAATATGGCTTTGGGTATATTGTAATAAGATCCCCATATACCGTATACCCCATATTCTATCTACTTAAGGGGGACTATAAACCCTAAACGCGAAGTTTGAGGTTCACAGGAGCTAGTAAGGCCTTCAGAGTCTCCGCTAGAAATACTTGCTCAGACCTATGAACCTGCAAGTCGACCTACAGATCTACAAGGAAATGCTTGCTTTCTGATAAAGGCCTAAAGCCGGAGACCCGTATTGAGGGAGGGGGGCTTAGGTGTAAGTTTGGTCCCCGGAATACAGTAGGTATTTGGTAGGAATATGGGGCAACGATCCCGTGACCCCCATATTTGCTTGAGAGACTGCGAGGCATGAAGGGCATGGAAATCTCCCAAATCTTGAACGTAAACTGCTTTACCCATACACCCTAAACCCCAAATCAGCTAGAGTCTAAACTCCTTAAAGGGGCTAAAAACGGGATTCTCTAGGGGACTACTATGGGGTTTATTACGGGGGATACTAGGAGTTGAGACTATGTCCCCTACAATCCCTTACATAACCTTATGTATAGCAGTTTCCATTTCATTTTCCATTTTCTTTTCCATTTGATTTTCCATTATCATTGTTCAAATCCAAAACCCAGGGGATGACCAAGAGCTGGTATCAACGGAGGCCAGCGAGATCAGCAGGGTTGAGTCCCTCGAGGAAGGGACTCGTCCCAAAGCTCACGACCAGCCAAATGAGCGAAAGGTGGCCGGGTCGCAAAGTTAGGAGCCGTTTTTTCCGTATGAGCTATAGTCGAAACTCCTTAAACGGGGGTTATATAGGGGATTATATAGGGAACTGTATTAGGGGTTATTGAGGTGGATACTAGGAGTTTAGATTATAGCTCATATAACAGTGGAATATAAAATGGAACAGATATGGAACAGGAAATGGAAACGGGGCTAATATGGCGGGTTCTAGGGGTTATGTATTGAAGGCGTAGTGGTGACGTTCCTTGATCTTCCCAGCGTGGCTATTTGTAGCATGCAATCCCTCAACAGACCTGGGAACTTCATTCATTCCTAATCAATAAATCAATAAGTAGATGGATAGATAGATAGAGAGATATATATATATATACACATGTATTTACTGTCAATATTAGCCTCGTTAAGGGGCCCGTACCAGTGGACATAGGGGTCCTTCCTGTAGTTTAGAATAGTCCCAATATAGTCCCGTATAAGGAACCCATGTCCATCAATTAATATGGGGAGATAGCTCATGTGAGCTACGGACGAAAGTTAGGTTGGGGGGGACCCACGCGGGGAGATACAGGGGGTCCTTCTGCTTTTAAAGAGTATACTACAACTTTTCGTCAAGGGTCATATGGCAAGATATTGATGGATCTTGCGCTGTTGAGTAGAGGCTTTAAATCATTTTCAGGACGACCGCTGGCGTCTCACAAGCAGACTCGGATGGAAGGTTCACTCGCGTAAGGTGCATGTAAATCGCATGTCTGAGAGGGGGAACCCTTCATCCTCAGCCAGCACAGATGGCTTTTTTAGCTATAGTCTAAACTCCTTAAAGGGGGATATATAGGGGATTATATAGGGGACTACTATTGGGCTTATTAAGGGGGATACTAGGAGTTTAGACAATGGTTCACATGGTGTCGAGGAT